GGGTTTTTGTTTTGTTTTTTTTTAATTGAGGTACTGGACATTGAACCCAGGACCTCGAGCACGCTAAGCACACACTCTACCACTGGACCAAACCCTCCCCCCTAGATTTCTTTTTTTTAAGTGAAATCTATCACATAAATTTTACATTTTAACTCCACTAATAGCAACCACCGAAACAGCACTTTTAAACGAAACACTGGTGTGTCAGTTACAGTCGCAGGCTGCCATGTTGCCATTTTTGCTTTAAATATATTTGCTAATAAAGGATAAACATGTTTTCACGTATTCATTAAACATGTAATGTAAGCAGCTCTGACTAAAGTTTTGTGTTTCTTTCTCAACTGCAGACGATGAAAAGCTCTCAGAGGTGGAAGAAGCTCAAGAAACAAGCATGGAAACTGACCCTAAACCATAGACCACCGGTTCCCAAGACGACAGGCCAGTCCCGAGAGTCCTGAAGTAGCAGCCTGACCCCAGTGTGTTCGGAATTTGTTGTGTTCCTGAGATAGTTGAAGTTTTGGCGGTGAACTGCTTTCCTTTTAACTATTAATGCACAGTTCATTCATATTTCTTCACACAAAGGAAGAATGACTTCATCATAGATTTGTTTTTTATTGACATGTCTTTTTTTCATTCTTAAGAGGTAGGAAGCAACGTCCAAAAATGTTTAGTAAAATGTTTTCAAGCCAGATATGTTTGTGCTCCTTGAAATTCTAGGTGGTTTTTAACTGGTAGCACTGATTTGCTCACAAAATAAGCAGAAGATGGTGAGAAAGCGGCATTTCCAGGATGTATGTGAGAAAATGAGTCAATTTCTGGAAATTGTAACAACTTTTGAAAATGGAGTCCCTAAATAGGCTCTCAGGAGGGCTGTGAGCTTGTGAAATTATGTACAAAATGTCTGTGGGGTATGCTTGCGGGACAGGTCTCGTGATATTAAGAATCACTGGTGTAGGAGGTAATTACAAGATGCGAAGTAAATCAACCTGCGTTCGTTTCTAGAGTTCTGTCCTTAGTGCATGAGCAACGTGGTTGTTCCATGTTTCCTTGCAATGTTTTCTCTCTATTGTTTTGTTCTTTAGGAATCGTTTTCAAGAGTCTTACAGAACGGATTTCATGATCTTTTTAAAAAATTAAACTAAGGCTGAATTACTTTTAATTGTCTCAAATCTTGAATTACGTATCTAACACTTGTTAGTTTACATCCTTATGCATTTCTTTTAGTTCAGAAACATGACACCTTGCATGAATCATACCTTAATGATGTTATATTTTTATAATTTTAATAAGAAATCTTCAAAAATGAAGGTTTACAATTAGCTCCATAGTAGTCATATCAAAAGTGTCCTAACACCTTTAAGTGCTTCCTCTTACTTCATCTGGCAAATCGTGGCAGGAATTTCCTTGCAGAACTGCTACACTCTGATAAATGTTTCTATTTTTCATAATTAGTAAAAAATTATGAAGCAAAAATTTGTTTATACTGACTCAGAAGTAAAAAATCAATTTTTCAAAAAGGGTCTTATTTTAAGGGCTGTTGGGCAGAATATTTTTAACCTCCCTCCCTCCCCCACCATTGATGAAGAGAAATTTTTTTCAGGATTATGTATTGAAAGATAAGATATGAAGGTAACATTTATGCAATCAGGGACAAAATCAGTAGCAGCAGCAGGTACACGGGAAGCACACGTTTTTCAGTTTATACTTCCTCATGGTTCTCTTGGATATCCTCTGAAACTGCTTAGAAGACTGAAGAATTTCATCCCCTAGAAACTCACACTGTTGAAGCTCAGCATATCTTTGGGCCAATAACTTCATAGATTTATCTGTCACTGTTTCTATGAGGTCATCCACCTACGACAGACAGTTAGGAAGAAACAAAGCCAGGTGTTACAAAGCCTTGTCTAAACCCCAGGGAGAGCTGTTTTTCCTGAGGGGTGAGTTCAGGAATTGGTGGACGTTTTGCAGGTCCCAACGTATTATTCTAATTCCAGTCTTAGCAAACAGAGCTTGAAGACATACATTTACCACCCAGTGGTAAAGACAGTCTCGTTTCTTCTCAAAAAAGCCCATGTGCATGCCTTCATTTTAAATGAATTCCCTTAATATTTATTAGACACACAGCATCATCCTTGACGCCCTCAGCAATCCTGTAGCCACTCTCACGAGGCCCCCCACTAACGTGGTTTCTTGATGGTAATCACTAGTTTCATCCCACACCCATGCTGCCTGGTGGGGCTGTGCATCCAGTTAAGCCTGGCCCTCTGATGCTTTTGAAGCACAAAAGTCAAAAGCCTTTGTCCACTACCTGCATTTGAAGCTTTCCTACTGTCAAATCCGATTTTCGGAGGATGTTTCCCATGCCATGTTTCTTTCTCTTAAGTGCTGGAAAATGTGGCCTCTTTTTTGATGAATACGGAACCTGTCATAATCATGCAAAATTATATCAGATTAGGAAGCGCGGACATTATTTCTATGATGATGCTTCAATAAGGATGCTCACCCTTGGGACATTCTCTTACAAACTGAACATTTGCCACACAGCAACATTGGGTTGGAGACAGTATTCATATTATTCTCCACGCCCCATGTATCTCCTTTGTGCCCAGAGCTCTCTTTGAAGCGATCTATAGGGTGCAGAGAAATGAGATTGTCTGGTTCTGAGAGAATACACGGTGTCAGGAAAAAAGCAGGTCATTCGTAAGGGGAAAGAAGAAGAAATTGCCTCTGCAGCCGCTGAGCACAGTGAGAGTGTGGCGATGTTGTAGACCAGAGCCCCAGAAAGCTCATTATCACTGGATCCAGTTGTTAATTTGGTCTCTTTTCTGCAGGTTCCCTTATTTTCATGGAAGACGCGTCTGTCTCCAAGCATAAAAAGAAAGCCCTGGGTTCTTTTCGCCGCATGCCTGACACTCTTCGGTCGTCCTTGGCTTGCTGGTTACAAGTACCTGTGCTATTGGAAATCATTCCTAGGTCATGGCTCCTGGCGAATATGCCCTAAAGTCTTATGGGGTTGACTCTTTCTTCCCCTTGTGCTTAGTGATTAGCATTGGGACTATAGCAAGACCTACACAAAGTAGAATGAGGGAACATATCTGGGTCTTGCCCTTTGCCCGAGTTTACAAATAAATCTGCCGAACCACCGCTCTGCCCCGCCAACTTGCCCAGGTTCAAATGTCCCTTGCAGAACCCGCCCCCTCCCCACAATCCATCCAGAGTGGACTCCTCATTTTTCTCTCTTAGAAAACACAGTGCTTTTTTCTACTAAGCATTAAACACTCTTGGTAATTACTTAAGCCCTTTCTGTGTTTGTTGAATAAAAAAGTCAAATGTCTAGAAGGGTCAGGCAGGTTTTGTCAAACAGACTCAGTTGGGGCTGGTGTGTACTGGAGAGAACGTGGCTCCTGCCAAGAGGGCAGCCTCTGTGCAGCTCCTGCTGTTGCCAGAGGAGTTGTGGGCCTAATGTTTCCAAATCCTCCTGTTTTTCCAAAGAAGCCTGAAAACCTAGATATTTTATTTGCATTACTCTAATTTTTAAATGTGGGCAATTAATTCAAGTATGTATTTTGAGAACATTCTGAGAGCTAACAGTGCAATTGCCATGGTTTAACGTCTATCTCCTGTATCCAACGATAAGTCCCACAGAAACCGGACCGTGCTCACCGGCTCACCTTTATAGCTCCCAAACCCAGCAATTGCCCGGCACATGATAGGAATACAATAAATACGAACCTAGCACACAGGAGACAAAATTCAAAACTAGTATTGGTGTACTCTGGCAGCGAGGCTCTCCAGTACCCAAAATGGAAACGATCTTTACCCTGGCTGTCCAATTCAACGTCCGCTAGCCGTATGTGTTTACTGAGCACTCGAATGTAGCTAGTGCAGCCAAGGGAATGGACTTTGAATTTCACTTCTTTTTAATTAACGTAAGTAGTCACACGTGGCTACTGGCTGCCATATTGGATAGTACAAATTAGAACCTGGCATTGTAATTAGGAGTAAACACTCCAGAGCAGGTCTTCCTTGGGTTTGAAGCCCCGGTGCTTCCAATTATCTGGGCAAATTACTTAACCTCTCATTGCCAGCCCTAAAAATCATATTCTATCTATTGTAGTGTTCTGTTGCTGTCTACCTTATAGGGCTGTTATAAGGACAATGTGAGTCAATATTTTTAAAGTACTTAGAACAGGGCTTGGAACACAGCCTTAAGTAGATGCTTATTATATTTAAATTAATGATATTTCAGGGTTCCATTTAAAAAAATCATCTGGGCAGTTTAGGCTCCAATTTTTACACCCACAGAGAAGTACAGTTTATCTGGGTTGGTATTTATATTAATTTCAGTTAAAGTGACATTCAGCTCCTCGGCTGCACAGGTCACATTGCAAAGTCTTCAAAGCCACATGTACTAATGGCTACTATATTGGACAAATGCACACTTGCATAGTCACAGAAATTCCGCTGGGCTGGTCCTGAGAATTCCTCCCCACACGGCATGCATGAGAGGCCAGATGCTAATATATTAACTTGGTGTTTGAACAGTTGACAAAAATCAATATAAAGCTCCCAGCTCCACCGCTGCTCTGACAGTAGCAGAAGCTGAACAGTTTGAGCTCAGAAGCAGAGGACTCAGACCCAGAAAGCCCACATTCTGTGCCCTAAATTCTTGGAGTGGAGACACGGGTAGCAGATTTAAAGGCTTTGTGATGAGGGACGCGCGGTGGTGGAGAGCTTGGTTTTTACAACATCCCTAAACCCTGACTTACAGGTAAGTTTTAGAGGCAAGATTGTTTTTAGCATTTTACCTTTTGCAGCCCTGAAGGAAGGGATGTCACAGACAATCGCTTGGTGGTCCTCCTGGCCCGGAGGAGTGTATTTCCTTGGGTTATCTCCTCTGTCTCTGCCTCTACAACATCCAGTTGTAGAGTTGCTTAGAGGGAGGAGGGGGAGAAAAGATTTTGAAGGATCGCAATTATAAACACGTGTTCCCTGTTAGAAACCGTCACATGCTGCTCAGTGGCTTTTCTCTTTGGGGTTAATAATTAAAACATGGACTTGCTTTTCTGAATCTTCCACTTTCCCCTTAACACTTGCCCTTTCTTAGGCACTAACCCCTCTTGACAAGATGCCTTACCTGCCTTTGAGACTTCAGTTTTGCCATCTGCTGCTCTTCCCCGTGGCTCTTGTATCATTAGAAAAAGTCACCCTCTGATGCGTAAGACAATTCCTTGAGCATTTATTGTTGATCAAAGCCAAGTTTAAAGTCTACTCTGCAGCAAAGTGGTTCAAGGCTGAGTCATTCACATAGCATTTTAGTAGTTCTTCCCATATTCCAGGAGCCAAATGAACCCAGGAGTCCTTCATATTTCTATCAATTCAATTCTTAACACAATAAATGTACTTATAAAGGAAACTTAAAACACTATCACAAATTGAAAACCAGTATCATAAATGGGCACTGAGATTAGTATGGGAAAAACAAAACCATGTTATTGCCTACAGAAGGCACTAAACCTCAGGTTACTCAAGTTACTCTCTCTTTCTCTTTTTTTTATTAAACTAGAAAAGGGCAGGAAATGAGACTTTTCTCTTGATGTAGTCAAAGGGATCAACAGAGGCAATGGGAAAAGAGCGTTTGCAGCTCATTCTGTGCTTCAGTGTCTTCATGCTACGCTTAGCACCTAAGACCAACTTGTCCTGCTTAAGGTCCATTGATAATGGCTCCCAGTCTCAGTGAGTGGTGGCTCCACCTTCAAAGCAGACACTCAGCCCAGGGACTCTGCGCTCTGCCTTGCCCTCCACTGCCCAGCTCTCCCCCAAATCTCCCATCTTCTCCCCACGAACATTTCTCCCTTGATCTTGGCACTCCACTGCTACGACTGGCCCAAGCTAACAGCATCCCTTGCCTGAATGAATGCTAGAGCCTGCTCTTTGTTCCTCCTTCATCTGCTCCTGCTTTCCTCCAATCCAGTCTCCACTCTGCAGCCTGAGCTACATTTTACAAATGCAAATCAGATTATTTAAAGCCCCAGCTTGAAAGTATTATCACCCTTAAGGAAAGTTAAAAATTCTTAACATGGCTTACAAACACTCTTAACACCTTACTCACCAGCCTCTCCCTGGCTGGATTGCTTCCATTTCTTAATTACACC